AAAAAAACCCAGTGAATTCAAACACTTGTTTAGTTGTCGGTGAGCCATCGTTAGGGAAAATTCTTTAAAAAAAAAAGGTCATCTTTGTTGTTTTTTTTTTTAAATTATGGAAGTTAACTTGTCTGTTGAAACAAAATAGTAAATGTACAATGACATTGTCAATCACCCCTCTTATTTACTTGCAAACAGGCAAGGAATAAAAGAAACCTCACGTCAAGAATTTTTTAGCATGACCTATTTTTTTCTGTAAACTATTCCTATATCCTAACAGACAATAGACCAGTAATCTAGAAAAATCAACAACAAAAAATGTAGTGTGAATATTAGAGACAAAATTTTCAGACTATATAACATGACAGAAGGAAGGACAAAGAATTATGTACATGATAAATAAGTTTATTAAATATAATTTGTGAAAAAATGTCCAACAACCCCGGGGTTGAATATCGGGGGGGGGGGGGGGGTGTCCGCAGGTACCTGTGCCGCCAAGTTCACCCTTATTGCAGAGAAAGATTGGAGGTTTAAAAGATGTAATTCTATATACTAAGACGCTGGTGAGCATATGCCCACTGACTAGTTTCATTTCAATAGTAAACACGGGATTCCGCGAGCGCACATTAAGAATTGTGGCAAGCCAGTTATTTTGTAGGAGAACAATCAACTTGACTGAATAAACAGAATTCTTAAACATGGTATGACGTAACGAGATGGTTAAGCCATGGAATTCTATTTGGTAAACAGAGTCTTTCGAAGGTTAACTGTTCATTCTAGTTAGATCTTTACGCTAAATATTCATGAGATTTAATATTTGTAAGCAGAAAATTATTCTTTATTAACAACTTAGGCACAAGAAGTCGGATAAGAAAGGGAAATTTACATCATTTGAACATGTGGGGAAAAGTCCTAGACTATAATGTCTATGAGTAAAAAATACTGAAAACTTGCGAGCCATACAACCCTAACTAAATTCGTCAAAGAAGTGCAGACAAAAAAGACCGTACATAGTTTTGCCTCCACACGAAATTCAATGAATTTAAACACGTATCTGTCAACAAACTTTTGTTGAAGTAGACAGAAATACTTGATCTTACAGATATCAGTCACTAAGTTTTCTTTGTAGAATAATACTGGACCTGTATTCCAAGATACCAATGTTTACAGAGCCCCCAGTTTAGTCAAGGAATTGACTAAAACAATACGGTTACTAAACACGATTAGAATGATAAGAGCCATTTTCATACGATTTATTGCGATGAATATTGATATTTGTGTTGATTCATATATTCATGAATATAAATTTACATTAAAAACATTGTTGTGAATCACTTTATCTTTAATTCTTCTCGTTATGATACAGTGTACATGTATATCATTCCAATTTGATAGAAAATTATTTGAAATATATTCTTAAAGTACATTCTTGGCTATTAAACTTTCTATAGACATTATAAAATAGGTTAAGGAGATTGTTTTATAGAATAAAAATGATTTCTGCTTTAAAAATGGTCAAATTTCAAATGACAAACAATACAGTTGCCAAGTAGGGACACTTTATCAGAACGACAAAATTAACTGAATTAATTCTATTTAGATCAACATCACTAAAAATAGCAAACACAGACTGTGCTACTTATTTTCAAGGTAAACTGACAATTTCTTTCCAAGTGGTCGATGACAGATTTGATTAGATAATGATCACCTCAAAGTACTCTTTTCCGACATAATAATATTTTTAACGGATAATCTTTCGTTTATAGAGAAATTTGAGATTATATCTTATAAATTTAAAGGTCACCAACAACTTGAAATACAACCTTTCTTAAATTTTTTAAAAGATAAAAAAAAATTGCAAACCATGCCTTTGTATGGCCCCTCTGATAAGCAAGGTATATGAGATAAGATAAGAACATTTAAGTTCGGCTGAGTTTGGGAAACCTCGTAATTTTCCTTGATTTGATTGAATGTGATGTAAATTCTTCCAAAGTTGTTAGTAAAAGAAAATAAAGTAGTAAGAATAAAAACAAACGTTAACGCAGTATAAATGTGGGATGCAGTGTATATTAGATAAAGGCTTCATTCCTTTGTAAACAATATTCCATTCAATACCTAAAGTGGTGTATAAACTTATGAAAATTGAGTTTTTCTGCGCAATATGAGTAAGTGTAATAACATCATGTGTATAGAACACATTAATGAATTAAGGGTTTACAACATTGTCCGAGGACAAACTGACAATTCATTTCGCAGACGGTATTCACTCATTTAAAAAAAATTCAGTCTGAAGGGTACCCAGAATATATTCAAGAATTCGATCAGTTCATGCATCTGTGTATATTTACGAAATCTTGCCGAGTACAGGTCTACATTTGCAGCCCTCCACCGGCAAATGGAATGTGAAAAGTTTCGAAAGGACGCTAAACAACTAAGCAAATCATTTTTGTTTGTTTTTAAGAAGATTCTGACGTTATGATCTTGAACTTCTCACTTTAAACTTATGTTGGCTCAGTCTGACAAATTTGAGCTGTGTATTTGAAAGCATTAAGTGCTAAGTCATTCATTCTATTTATGTTTTAGATTTTCAGTTCACATGAACACAAGGCTCAAGTGAGCTTTTCTAATCGAAAAGTGTCCAGCGTCCGTCTGTTTATCTGTCCGTCTGTCTGATGTATGTGTCTGTCGCCTGTAAATTTTTCACATTTTCAACTTCTTCAGAACCACAGGCCTGGGCTAATTTCAACCAAACTTTTCACAAAGCTTACTTGGGTGGAGGGAATTTACGTTTGTTCAAATGAAGCCCACAGCCTCTATCAATAGAAAAAAAATAAGAATTCAGAATTTAGTGAAAAGTGAATGACATCTTTCAAAAACCTTCTTCTCATCAAGAACCACTGGGCCAGAAAATGTGAAACTTATCTGTAAGCTTCATTACATAGTGTAGATTCAAATTTGGTTAAATCATGACCACCAAGGTAGGGTTGGGATACAGTAGACTATAAAAGTTATACATAGGAATATAATGTAAACGGTCTTTAAATATCTTCTTTTCAAGAACAGCAAAGCCATGGTTCGTCATATTAATACGGAAGCATCTTCAGATACTGTACATTCATTTTTTAAAATCATGACCCCGGAGGTAGAATGTGGCAACAATTGGGGATCAAAATTTGAAACTAATAAACACGATTTTAGGGGGAAAATCTGTATAAATCTTCAAGAACAGCAAAGCCATGGTTAATTATATTTATAGGGAAGCATCCCCATGTTGTGTAGATTCAAATTTGTTCAAGTCATGACTCCCGGGGGAAGGGTAGGGACACAAAAGGCGATCGAAGTTTTACATAGGAGTGCATCTTTGTAAGAAAAATCTTTAGATTAAAATTTGTTCAAATCATTACCCCCGCTGGTAGGAGGGGGAACGATATGTGATCAAGGTTTACATAGAAATATAAGGGGGGGGGGGGATCTGATGAACAAAGCTTGACCATAGTGATTCAGGCGAGCACTGTGGCCCTTGGATCTCTTGTTAATTAATTTCACTAGTCTCTTAGAGAATTTACGTCAGCATTAATCAACTCATCAGATTGTCTTATCCTGACACATAACTTATGAAGTGTAATGTGTTTTCTACGGATTTAATTAGAGTACTTAAAAAGAAAAATACGCTTTAAGGAAAAACTATTTTAACGTGTTTTCAAGTCATTTTTATTTTCGACAAAACATATTGTTCGTTTTAGCTCACCTGAGAGCAGAAGGCTCGTTAACGTTTCACATTTTCATATTCCCTTCCAGAACCACTGGGCCAATATTGCCAAAATTTCGCACAGAGTATCATTGGATTAAGGGAATTCAAGTTTGCTCAAATGAAGGACAACACCCTCTTCCAATCTGAGTTAATTACAATCAATTAATGTGAGGAATACTGAGAATTGGATGGGATTATAAAAAAAAAATCATCTGAAGAACCACTGGACCAGAAAAAATAAAAGTTATACGAAAGATTCATTACATAGTGTTAGATTTAAGTTTGTTCAAATCATGACCCCTGGGGTAGGGTGGAACCACAATGGTTGACGAAATTTTTACAAAGAAAAAATCCTTTAAAACCTTCTCAAGAACACGAAGGATTAGTCATATTTATATGGATGCAGCAACGAATAGTATGAGTTTAACTTTGTTCAAATCATGATCCTGGGGATAGGATGGGGTCACAATGGGCGGTCAAAGTTAAACATAGGAATGATTGGAAAAAATCTTTAACAATCTTCTTCTCAAGAACAGCATAGCCTTGATTAGTCATATTTATTTAGATGCATCCTCAAGTAGTGTAGATTCAAGTGATTCAAGTTTGTTCAAATCATGATTCCCGTGCGTAAGGTGGGGCCACAAAGGGCGATCAAAGTTTTACATGGGTATGCATACAAAAAACCTTCTCAAGAACGGTAAAGCCATGATTAACATATTTAAATGGATTCATCAGTAGATAGTTTGAATTCAAATTTGTTCAAATCATAACGAGATAGGGTGGAGCCACAATGAGCGAAGTTTTACATAGGAATATATACGAAAAATCTTTAGAAATCGTCTTCTTAAGAAAAACAAATATGTGAAAAGTGATATTTACGGTATATGGACGTATTCTCAGGTATGGTAGATTCAATTTTTTGCAACTCATGACACCCCCCGGGGGGGGGGGGGGGCTACGATGGGCTTTCAAAGTTTTACATAGGAATACATGGATAAAATCTTTCATTATCTTCTTTTCGATAAATCATATTTATATGGAAGCATCCTCAGGTATTGTAAATTCACGTTTGATGAAATCATGACCCCTGCAGATATATAGGATGGGGCCACAATATGTGATCAAAGTTTTGACAGGAATATATAGGAGGAAAAATGCTGGAAAAAAAACTGTTGACTCAGTTGAGCGTTGTTGTTCATTGGCCTCTTGTCAACTTTTTCCTTCTTAATTTATTCGAATTGTTATTCTGTTGTTCTAGGTGTCTCTGCGGCAAAACACGGGTCATGCATGTCCTAACTTGCATTACTCCCAAAATGCAGAATGTGAAAGTTCTCAAAGTTCGATCACCAGAACAAAACAAACCAGATACAGAAAACAGATCATAACGGCCATTGTTGTATCCTGCTTGATGGCTCTTGGGGCTGCAATAGTCGTTTTTGTTCTTCTAGCGAGGCCAAACATTAAAAAAGGTATTAAAAAGCTGTATCCTTTACACAAGAAGTGCATGATGTTTGTATTGATGCTTTTATTTTAAGATTTGTAATTGAATGAGGCTGATCACAATTAATTTCAACCTAGAAAATTGTGCTCTGCTTATTTCCTTTTACGAGAAAAAAGAACTTTGTTGAGAAATGAATGAAACATCACAATGCAAACATATGAAGCAACTAACTGGGCATTGATTAACCGAATAGAATATGAAAAGATATTTATAATTTTGCAGTGAATGAATAAAGTTTTCTTATATCTATTTTAAGTTTAGTCGGTAGCTCAAATAGTCTTTTCCGATCAAAGTTTGTCCGTTGTTTTCCATAAGTCTTCTTTATATTACTTTTCACATTTTCGACATTTGCACAGCAGTCTTTAACGAGACTTAGTAAGCAGTTTATTCTCTTGAAGGAGAGTTTCAATTTGTAAAAGGATTAATAAAACTAAGTAGTTTTAGTCTTATTTCGAATATATAGAAACCTGTATTTTAACTTACTCTTCTAAAGAAGGACGGCCCATAATAAATATTTAAGCAAAATAAAACCTGGTTTTCTTTCCGTTAATTCAAATCAGAAGAGTTGGATGCAAAATAAACAGAAGAGAAAAAAACTGTCGTTCAATCGATACTGAGGAAGCAAATTTTTACATTCTCTAGCAGTCTATTACCTGATATCCTGATCAAGTTCTATATGTTTAAAGAAAATGGTTTTCTTTTCCAATCTGGTGAACAATTGAGCAAGAAAAATTCTCAAAAAGGTTTCAATATGATTTTGATTAAATAATTGAAGCACCTAGAGCTACATTTTAGTGGAAAATAAATTTCATGTATTTTTAAGTTTGTTTGTTTTTGTGTTGTTTTTTTTTTAATATGTTTATTGTGTGAGAAATGCTTAGTTAAAATACTTTATGATTAAAAAAGATGCACATAACTGAAGTTAAGCGTTGTTGTGAAAACATATATTATAGGGTTATTGATTTTATATCGGTGAATATTGGCACGAGTTGGCGAGGTGGCTGTACAAATGCACGAGCTTGCGAGTGCATTTGTACAGCCAACGAGTGCCAATATTCACCAATATAAGTTCAATAACTCCTTTATTATATAGCTAAAACATCTCCCATTGATTTATATTAATTATTTCAGTTAAATAACTCAAATTAATTAGAATTTTTTAGTATCGGTATTTAAGTTAACGTCTGTCCTGAAAGTGTTCAATATCGCATTATTCCAATGACCATACCAAGCGTTATGATTTGCTTATTGAGGTTTAATTGAGGCTAATATGTTATGTTTCGGGTATACTCATTTACGTAATACAAACTCAGCGTTCAGTAAAACGCCAAGATATTGAACGCTAAAATTCTCTAGACATTTAGTAGTTTTCATTATAGACTATTTATTAGCTATATAACAAAAGTGGGTATTGTTCAGATATTAACTGAGCTAGCTTTTTTTTTTTTACAGAAACAATCAGCAAAATCAGTGAGTATTCTAAAACGTTAATAAATATTTATAAAAGCAAACAAATATATAAACCAACATAAGAGGCATTATTTCAGATTGATTACTGTTCGTTCAGATTTCAGATTGATTACTGTTCGTTTTTTCATATTCCAATGAATACTATATATCGTTGGATTCGTCTGCATGCATAGCAAATTAAAACATTTCATTATTAAAGTATTTTTCATAAGCATGCATATATATGCCATACCTAGTGTACTTTATGAAATTAAAGAAAACATCTCAATGTAATTCGTAAATGTCTCTCTGTATTTTAGCAAGAGTAGAAGCTGAATTGTCTATTCTCGAGACGTTCAAGCCTGAGTATAACAGCACAACTTCTCCACAACGCAAAGAATTCATTTCAAAATTCACCAAGAGTGTAAGATATGTTTTTTCTTTTAGAATAATCATGGTATCTTTATTTTTACATACACTTGAACGTTATGTCATGAATACGATCTCGCCTTCGTTTTTCCAATCGTGATTATTTGGTTCTTCTACTTGTGGTTGAATGATGTACTAAAAAATAAAAAGGGATTCCGTTACATCAATGTTTTTACTGTACAGATTACATTGACAACCCTCATGAATAACTAAGAAAATCGGAAATATAGGACCACTCAAATTACTAATAATCGTGTTGCGGAAATTTTCGCAAATATGGGAAGGCCTAACCTGATAAAAGTTATACAGTACGAGTATAAGTTCACATTCTGCTCTGGTTTGCTGTCCATTCCTTGTACGCTTCAAGTAATTGTAAGTTCATACACGTAAAGCCCGGGTTGCAGATTGATTAGAGCGTTGCACTGTAGAGTCACACATTAAGAATATGGATCCTACTGTGGGTTGCGTAGAGAACGGTCATTCGATTGAATGAATTCCTGTCTTGTAGTAGGTGATTGAACGAAAACGACCCCCTGTACTGTTCAATGACCATGAGTGCTGAGTACTGGTCTTAATTTGCAGTAATTGATGAAGTCTTGGTGATATCTCGCGAACAAACAAAGAAAAAAATACAAGCACTACAAACAAACAAAAATACAAGCACTGTTTCCTCCCCTTTTACTCAGATATCACTTGGAGTAGTAGAAAGGTTCGAAGTCTATATACACATCATTATGTAAGAATATGTGAAAATTCAGAATCTATATCTTTATATTTGCAAAACTTTTTCCGGTAAAGCATATAACTTTTACGAATCTCCTCTTGTTTTCTAGATGGAAGACGAGGTTAGAGAAAACAAAGGATTGCACAATTTAAAAAACTGTACTGTTATTAATCTTCGGTAAGTAAAATACAAAACAATTCAGATGTATCGCTGTATAGTGAAACACTAAAGCAAGTAGTAATTTCTTCATTTTTTTTTCTTTTTCATAGGAATGGAAGCATTACTGTGACATTCGCTTTGTATTTTGAAACAATAGTGGAAAAAGCAAGCGCTAAAAACAATATCACTTTAATCACCGGAAATATACAACAAAAGCTGGAAGCAAATAATAATACAGTAAATCTGGAAGGTTTTAAAGTTAAAATTAATAAGTTAGAAGTGATAAATATTATGGTCTTTTCAGTGCAAAATGGTCAGATTTTGAAGGAAAAACAAAGTACAACCCCACCATCAAATACCATTCCTCTAACTCGAGGAACACGCCTATCCTCCCTGAGAACAATGACTTCAAACAATTCAACAGCGACACCTATTACTTTGTCATTTCCAAATACTTGGATAAAGCACACTATAAATCAAACGCCTTCTGCTCCAAGAATATCCAATAAAACTATTGTAACTGCGACTTCTTCAATTCATAATAAAACATATCCTACATCTACAAATTCTCCTTCTAAAACCACTCCAATTAATACAATTTTTCCAAATAAAACAATTCAGACTACTATAAAATCTGTTACTTCAACGGCTTCTACAAAAACCATCCCTTTTTTTACATCTCCAACTTCTGAAATCAGTCGAAAAACTATTACAACTACTCCAAAAACTACAACAACCATTCCGAATAATTCAATAACCACTCCAACAACTACTACAATCATTATAATATCTAAAAGCACAACTACAACAACCACTCAAAAAACACCTAAAATCAATTCAACAACTGCAACAACCAATCCAACAACTATTACAACTAAAACAACAACTAAAACTTCTCCAACAACTTTAACGACCACTCCATATCCTATAACGATTACTTTAAAAACTACAAGAACTACTCCAATCACTACAAATTCCACTCAAAATACTTTTACAACTACTCCAAACACTACATCTTCTCCTCCAACGTCCACAAACATTAAAATACCTACAATAAATACAATAACTACAACTATTCCAACCACTATAACAACCACTCGAACAATTACAACAACAACTCCAACTACAACCCCTCCAACAACTTCATCAACTCTTACAACTACAACTGTTCAACTAACTACAACAACCTCTCCAACACCTACAAAAACTTTAACAGCTGCAGCAACTACGCTAACAACTACAAAAACTACTCCAAAAATTACTACAGGCAGTCCAACAATTACAAGCACTCCAACAAATACTTCAAGCCCTCCAAGCACAATTAACACTCCAACAACTACTTCAAGCACCTCAACAGCTACAACTACTCCTAGAACTGTTACAACTCCAACAGCTACAACATCAACTCCAACAATAACTTCATCCACTAAAGCAATTATGACAACTCCAACAACTAGTATATCCACTCCATTAATAACAAAGACCTCTATAACAACTTATACCATTCCAACGATTACAACAACCACTTCAGCAACAACAACTACTCCAACAACTGTTAAAAATCCAACAACTATTATAAATACTCCAACAAGTAATACAACCTTTCCAACAACTACTAAAACCTTTCTAAGCAAAACATCCACTCTGACAACTACTTCTAACACATGGACAACAAACACTCCAACAACTACACTCACTCCAACAACAACTACAATCTATCCAACACTTACACAGACAACTACTTCTACCACTCCAAGAAAAACAATCATTCCAACAATGTCTTCAAGTCCAACATTTACTTCAATGATTCCGAAAATACAAACCAGTACAACAACTACAACAAGCACTCCGACAACTGCTGCAAGCACTCCAACAACCATAACAGCAACAGGAAATACCATTACAACAACAACGGCTACTACAACTACTGCAACAGCTTCTTCAACCACTTCGAAACCTACAATCATTCCAACTCATACTACATCAGACACTCCAATAACTATAAATACTCCAACAGCAACGTCTCTGAAAACCACTCCAACAGGAATAAAATCTCTAACAATTACAGCAACAACTCCAATTACTACAGGCACTCCAATAACTACAACTAGCACTCCAAAAAATTCTTCAACCACTCCGAAAACAACAACCACTTCAACAACTTCTACATCCCCTTCAACAACTGCATCAATTGAAACACCTAAAATTACCCTAAGAACAAGTTCAACAACCACTCCAACAACTGCAACCACTCCAACAACAACTACAGCCATTCCATCACCTACAAAGACAACTACTTCTACCACTCCAACAAATACAATCATTGCAACATCTTCAAGTCGATCGTCTACTTCAATGACTCCGAAAATAACAACCAGTACAACAACCACAACAAGCACTCCGACAACTGCTGCAAGCACTCCAACAACCATAACAGCAACAGGAAATACCATGACAACTACAACGGCTACTACAACTACTCCACCAGCTTCTTCAACCACTTCGAAAGCTACAATCATTCCAACTCATACTACATCAGACACTCCAATAACTATAAATACTCCAACAGCAACGTCTCTGAAAACCACTCCAACAGCAATAAAATCTCTAACAACTACAGCAACAACTCCAATTACTACAGGCACTCCAATAACTACAACTAGCACTCCAAAAAATTCTTCAACCACTCCAAAAACAACAACCACTTCAACAACTTCTACATCCCCTTCAACAACTGCATCAATTCAAACACCTAAAATTACCCTAAGAACAAGTTCAACAACCACTCCAACAACTGCAACCACTCCAACAACAACTACAGCCATTCCATCACCTACAAAGACAACTACTTCTACCACTCCAACAAATACAATCATTGCAACATCTTCAAGTCGATCGTCTACTTCAATGACTCCGAAAATAACAACCAGTACAACAACTACAACAAGCACTCCGACAACTGCTGCAAGCACTCCAACAACCATAACAGCAACAGGAAATACCATGACAACTACAACGGCTACTACAACTACTCCACCAGCTTCTTCAACCACTTCGAAAGCTACAATCATTCCAACTCATACTACATCAGACACTCCAATAACTATAAATACTCCAACAGCAACGTCTCTGAAAACCACTCCAACAGCAATAAAATCTCTAACAACTACAGCAACAACTCCAATTACTACAGGCACTCCAATAACTACAACTAGCACTCCAAAAAATTCTTCAACCACTCCAAAAACAACAACCACTTCAACAACTTCTACATCCCCTTCAACAACTGCATCAATTCAAACACCTAAAATTACCCTAAGAACAAGTTCAACAACCACTCCAACAACTGCAACCACTCCAACAACAACTACAGCCATTCCATCACCTACAAAGACAACTACTTCTACCACTCCAACAAATACAATCATTGCAACATCTTCAAGTCGATCGTCTACTTCAATGACTCCGAAAATAACAACCAGTACAACAACCACAACAAGCACTCCGACAACTGCTGCAAGCACCCCAACAACCATAACAGCAACAGGAAATACCATGACAACTACAACGGCTACTACAACTACTCCACCAGCTTCTTCAACCACTTCGAAAGCTACAATCATTCCAACTCATACTACATCAGACACTCCAATAACTATAAATTCTCCAACAGCAACGTCTCTGAAAACCACTCCAACAGCAATAAAATCTCTAACAACTACAGCAACAACTCCAATTACTACAGGCACTCCAATAACTACAACTAGCACTCCAAAAAATTCTTCAACCACTCCAAAAACAACAACCACTTCAACAACTTCTACATCCCCTTCAACAACTGCATCAATTCAAACACCTAAAATTACCCTAAGAACAAGTTCAACAACCACTCCAACAACTGCAGCCACTCCAACAACAACTACAGCCATTCCATCACCTACAAAGACAACTACTTCTACCACTCCAACAAATACAATCACTGCAACATCTTCAAGTCGATCGTCTACTTCAATGACTCCGAAAATAACAACCAGTACAACAACCACAACAAGCACTCTGACAACTGCTGCAAGCACTCCAACAACCATAACAGCAACAGGAAATACCATGACAACTACAACGGCTACTACAACTACTCCACCAGCTTCTTCAACCACTTCGAAAGCTACAATCATTCCAACTCATACTACATCAGACACTCCAATAACTATAAATACTCCAACAGCAACGTCTCTGAAAACCACTCCAACAGCAATAAAATCTCTAACAACTACAGCAACAACTCCAATTACTACAGGCACTCCAATAACTACAACTAGCACTCCAAAAATATCTTCAACCACTCCAAAAACAACAACCACTTCAACAACTTCTACATCCCCTTCAACAACTGCATCAATTCAAACACCTAAAATTACCCTAAGAACAAGTTCAACAACCACTCCAACAACTGCAACCACTCCAACAACAACTACAGCCATTCCATCACCTACAAAGACAACTACTTCTACCACTCCAACAAATACAATCATTGCAACATCTTCAAGTCGATCGTCTACTTCAATGACTCCGAAAATAACAACCAGTACAACAACTACAACAAGCACTCCGACAACTGCTGCAAGCACTCCAACAACCATAACAGCAACAGGAAATACCATGACAACTACAACGGCTACTACAACTACTCCACCAGCTTCTTCAACCACTTCGAAAGCTACAATCATTCCAACTCATACTACATCAGACACTCCAATAACTATAAATACTCCAACAGCAACGTCTCTGAAAACCACTCCAACAGCAATAAAATCTCTAACAACTACAGCAACAACTCCAATTACTACAGGCACTCCAATAACTACAACTAGCACTCCAAAAAATTCTTCAACCACTCCAAAAACAACAACCACTTCAACAACTTCTACATCCCCTTCAACAACTGCATCAATTCAAACACCTAAAATTACCCTAAGAACAAGTTCAACAACCACTCCAACAACTGCAGCCACTCCAACAACAACTACAGCCATTCCATCACCTACAAAGACAACTACTTCTACCACTCCAACAAATACAATCATTGCAACATCTTCAAGTCGATCGTCTACTTCAATGACTCCGAAAATAACAACCAGTACAACAACCACAACAAGCACTCCGACAACTGCTGCAAGCACCCCAACAACCATAACAGCAACAGGAAATACCATGACAACTACAACGGCTACTACAACTACTCCAACAGCTTCTTCAACCACTTTGAAACCTACAATCATTCCAACTCATACTACATCAGACACTCCAATAACTATAAATTCTCCAACAGCAACGTCTCTGAAAACCACTCCAACAGCAATAAAATCTCTAACAACTACAGCAACAACTCCAATTACTACAGGCACTCCAATAACTACAACTAGCACTCCAAAAAATTCTTCAACCACTCCAAAAACAACAACCACTTCAACAACTTCTACATCCCCTTCAACAACTGCATCAATTCAAACACCTAAAATTACCCTAAGAACAAGTTCAACAACCACTCCAACAACTGCAGCCACTCCAACAACAACTACAGCCATTCCATCACCTACAAAGACAACTACTTCTACCACTCCAACAAATACAATCATTGCAACATCTTCAAGTCGATCGTCTACTTCAATGACTCCGAAAATAACAACCAGTACAACAACCACAACAAGCACTCCGACAACTGCTGCAAGCACCCCAACAACCATAACAGCAACAGGAAATACCATGACAACTACAACGGCTACTACAACTACTCCAACAGCTTCTTCAACCACTTCGAAAGCTACAATCATTCCAACTCATACTACATCAGACACTCCAATAACTATAAATACTCCAACAGCAACGTCTCTGAAAACCACTCCAACAGCAATAAAATCTCTAACAACTACAGCAACAACTCCAATTACTACAGGCACTCCAATAACTACAACTAGCACTCCAAAAAATTCTTCAACCACTCCAAAAACAACAACCACTTCAACAACTTCTACATCCCCTTCAACAACTGCATCAATTCAAACACCTAAAATTACCCTAAGAACAAGTTCAACAACCACTCCAACAACTGCAGCCACTCCAACAACAACTACAGCCATTCCATCACCTACAAAGACAACTACTTCTACCACTCCAACAAATACAATCATTGCAACATCTTCAAGTCGATCGTCTACTTCAATGACTCCGAAAATAACAACCAGTACAACAACCACAACAAGCACTCCGACAACTGCTGCAAGCACTCCAACAACCATAACAGCAACAGGAAATACCATGACAACTACAACGGCTACTACAACTACTCCACCAGCTTCTTCAACCACTTCGAAAGCTACAATCATTCCAACTCATACTACATCAGACACTCCAATAACTATAAATACTCCAACAGCAACGTCTCTGAAAACCACTCCAACAGCAATAAAATCTCTAACAACTACAGCAACAACTCCAATTACTACAGGCACTCCAATAACTACAACTAGCACTCCAAAAAATTCTTCAACCACTCCAAAAACAACAACCACTTCAACAACTTCTACATCCCCTTCAACAACTGCATCAATTCAAACACCTAAAATTACCCTAAGAACAAGTTCAACAACCACTCCAACAACTGCAACCACTCCAACAACAACTACAGCCATTCCATCACCTACAAAGACAACTACTTCTACCACTCCAACAAATACAATCATTGCAACATCTTCAAGTCGATCGTCTACTTCAATGACTCCGAAAATAACAACCAGTACAACAACCACAACAAGCACTCCGACAACTGCTGCAAGCACCCCAACAACCATAACAGCAACAGGAAATACCATGACAACTACAACGGCTACTACAACTACTCCAACAGCTTCTTCAACCACTTCGAAAGCTACAATCATTCCAACTCATACTACATCAGACACTCCAATAACTATAAATTCTCCAACAGCAACGTCTCTGAAAACCACTCCAACAGCAATAAAATCTCTAACAACTACAGCAACAACTCCAATTACTACAGGCACTCCAATAACTACAACTAGCACTCCAAAAAATTCTTCAACCACTCCAAAAACAACAACCACTTCAACAACTTCTACATCCCCTTCAACAACTGCATCAATTCAAACACCTAAAATTACCCTAAGAACAAGTTCAACAACCACTCCAACAACTGCAGCCACTCCAACAACAACTACAGCCATTCCATCACCTACAAAGACAACTACTTCTACCACTCCAACAAATACAATCACTGCAACATCTTCAAGTCGATCGTCTACTTCAATGACTCCGAAAATAACAACCAGTACAACAACCACAACAAGCACTCCGACAACTGCTGCAAGCACTCCAACAACCATAACAGCAACAGGAAATACCATGACAACTACAACGGCTACTACAACTACTCCACCAGCTTCTTCAACCACTTCGAAAGCTACAATCATTCCAACTCATACTACATCAGACACTCCAATAACTATAAATACTCCAACAGCAACGTCTCTGAAAACCACTCCAACAGCAATAAAATCTCTAACAACTACAGCAACAACTCCAATTACTACAGGCACTCCAATAACTACAACTAGCACTCCAAAAATATCTTCAACCACTCCAAAAACAACAACCACTTCAACAACTTCTACATCCCCTTCAACAACTGCATCAATTCAAACACCTAAAATTACCCTAAGAACAAGTTCAACAACCACTCCAACAACTGCAACCACTCCAACAACAACTACAGCCATTCCATCACCTACAAAGACAACTACTTCTACCACTCCAACAAATACAATCATTGCAACATCTTCAAGTCGATCGTCTACTTCAATGACTCCGAAAATAACAACCAGTACAACAACTACAACAAGCACTCCGACAACTGCTGCAAGCACTCCAACAACCATAACAGCAACAGGAAATACCATGACAACTACAACGGCTACTACAACTACTCCACCAGCTTCTTCAACCACTTCGAAAGCTACAATCATTCCAACTCATACTACATCAGACACTCCAATAACTATAAATACTCCAACAGCAACGTCTCTGAAAACCACTCCAACAGCAATAAAATCTCTAACAACTACAGCAACAACTCCAATTACTACAGGCACTCCAATAACTACAACTAGCACTCCAAAAAATTCTTCAACCACTCCAAAAACAACAACCACTTCAACAACTTCTACATCCCCTTCAACAACTGCATCAATTCAAACACCTAAAATTACCCTAAGAACAAGTTCAACAACCACTCCAACAACTGCAACCACTCCAACAACAACTACAGCCATTCCTTCACCTACAAAGACAACTACTTCTACCACTCCAACAAATACAATCATTGCAACATCTTCAAGTCGATCGTCTACTTCAATGACTCCGAAAATAACAACCAGTACAACAACCACAACAAGCACTCCGACAACTGCTGCAAGCACCCCAACAACCATAACAGCAACAGGAAATACCATGACAACTACAACGGCTACTACAACTACTCCACCAGCTTCTTCAACCACTTCGAAAGCTACAATCATTCCAACTCATACTACATCAGACACTCCAATAACTATAAATTCTCCAACAGCAACGTCTCTGAAAACCACTCCAACAGCAATAAAATCTCTAACAACTACAGCAACAACTCCAATTACTACAGGCACTCCAATAACTACAACTAGCACTCCAAAAAATTCTTCAACCACTCCAAAAACAACAACCACTTCAACAACTTCTACATCCCCTTCAACAACTGCATCAATTCAAACACCTAAAATTACCCTAAGAACAAGTTCAACAACCACTCCAACAACTGCAGCCACTCCAACAACAACTACAGCCATTCCATCACCTACAAAGACAACTACTTCTACCACTCCAACAAATACAATCATTGCAACATCTTCAAGTCGATCGTCTACTTCAATGACTCCGAAAATAACAACCAGTACAACAACCACAACAAGCACTCCGACAACTGCTGCAAGCACTCCAACAACCATAACAGCAACAGGAAATACCATGACAACTACAACGGCTACTACAACTACTCCAACAGCTTCTTCAACCACTTCGAAAGCTACAATCATTCCAACTCATACTACATCAGACACTCCAATAACTATAAATACTCCAACAGCAACGTCTCTGAAAACCACTCCAACAGCAATAAAATCTCTAACAACTACAGCAACAACTCCAATTACTACAGGCACTCCAATAACTACAACTAGCACTCCAAAAAATTCTTCAACCACTCCAAAAACAACAACCACTTCAACAACTTCTACATCCCCTTCAACAACTGCATCAATTCAAACACCTAAAATTACCCTAAGAACAAGTTCAACAACCACTCCAACAACTGCAACCACTCCAACAACAACTACAGCCATTCCATCACCTACAAAGACAACTACTTCTACCACTCCAACAAATACAATCATTGCAACATCTTCAAGTCGATCGTCTACTTCAATGACTCCGAAAATAACAACCAGTACAACAACCACAACAAGCACTCCGACAACTGCTGCAAGCACCCCAACAACCATAACAGCAACAGGAAATACCATGACAACTACAACGGCTACTACAACTACTCCAACAGCTTCTTCAACCACTTCGAAAGCTACAATCATTCCAACTCATACTACATCAGACACTCCAATAACTATAAATTCTCCAACAGCAACGTCTCTGAAAACCACTCCAACAGCAATAAAATCTCTAACAACTACAGCAACAACTCCAATTACTACAGGCACTCCAATAACTACAACTAGCACTCCAAAAAATTCTTCAACCACTCCAAAAACAACAACCACTTCAACAACTTCTACATCCCCTTCAACAACTGCATCAATTCAAACACCTAAAATTACCCTAAGAACAAGTTCAACAACCACTCCAACAACTGCAGCCACTCCAACAACAACTACAGCCATTCCATCACCTACAAAGACAACTACTTCTACCACTCCAACAAATACAATCATTGCAACATCTTCAAGTCGATCGTCTACTTCAATGACTCCGAAAATAACAACCAGTACAACAACCACAACAAGCACTCCGACAACTGCTGCAAGCACTCCAACAACCATAACAGCAACAGGAAATACCATGACAACTACAACGGCTACTACAACTACTCCACCAGCTTCTTCAACCACTTCGAAAGCTACAATCATTCCAACTCATACTACATCAGACACTCCAATAACTATAAATACTCCAACAGCAACGTCTCTGAAAACCACTCCAACAGCAATAAAATCTCTAACAACTACAGCAACAACTCCAATTACTACAGGCACTCCAATAACTACAACTAGCACTCCAAAAAATTCTTCAACCACTCCAAAAACAACAACCACTTCAACAACTTCTACATCCCCTTCAACAACTGCATCAATTCAAACACCTAAAATTACCCTAAGAACAAGTTCAACAACCACTCCAACAACTGCAGCCACTCCAACAACAACTACAGCCATTCCATCACCTACAAAGATAACTACTTCTACCACTCCAACAAATACAATCATTGCAACATCTTCAAGTCGATCGTCTACTTCAATGACTCCGAAAATAACAACCAGTACAACAACTACAACAAGCACTCCGACAACTGCTGCAAGCACTCCAACAACCATAACAGCAACAGGAAATACCATGACAACTACAACGGCTACTACAACTACTCCAACAGCTTCTTCAACCACTTCGAAAGCTACAATCATTCCAACATATACTACATCAGACACTCCAATAATTATAAATACTCCAACAGCAACGTCTCTGAAAACCACTCCAACAGCAATAAAATCTCTAACAACTTCAGCAACAACTCCAATTACTACAGGAACTCCAATAACTACAACTAGCACTCCAAAAAATTCTTCAACCACTCCAAAAACAACAACCACTTCAACAACTTCTACATCCCCTTCAACAACTGCATCAATTCAAACACCTAAAATTACCCTAAGAACAAGTTCAACAACCACTCCAACAACTGCAGCCACTCCAACAACAATTACAGCCATTCCATCACCTACAAAGAAAACTACTTCTACCACTCCAACAAATACAATCATTGCAACATCTTCAAGTCGATCGTCTACTTCAATGACTCCGAAAATAACAACCAGTACAACAACCACAACAAGCACTCCGACAACTGCTGCAAGCACTCCAACAACCATAACAGCAACAGGAAATACCATGACAACTACAACGGCTACTACAACTACTCCACCAGCTTCTTCAACCACTTCGAAAGCTACAATCATTCCAACTCATGCTACATCAGACACTCCAATAACTATAAATACTCCAACAGCAACGTCTCTGAAAACCACTCCAACAGCAATAAAATCTCTAACAACTACAGCAACAACTCCAATTACTACAGGCACTCCAATAACTACAACTAGCACTCCAAAAAATTCTTCAACCACTCCAAAAACAACAACCACTCCAACAACTTCTACATCCCTCCATTAACTGCTTCAATTCAAACACTTAAAATTAACCTAACAACTACCACAAACTTTTCAATACCTACTTCATCCACTGCAAAAGTTGCAACTTATCCAACTGTTACAACTCCAGCAACTACAACAACCACTCCAAGAATATCTTCATTCACTTCAAGAACTATGACGATTCCAACAACTAGTACACCCACTTCAACGCCTACAACCATTCCATCAAATACAACAACCACTCCTTCAAATCCTCTAACAACTGCGGCAACTACACAAACAATTTCTACAACTCCACCATAATTTCCAAAAACTACCACAACCAGTCCAACATCTACACGCACTCCATCAACTACTTTAACCACTCCAAGCACAGTAAACACCCCAACAACTACATTAAGGACCTCATCAGCTACTAATCTAACAACTATTTCACCTTCACCAACAACTACATCTCTAACAACTTACACAGCCACTTTAATTACTAAATGCACTCCTACATCTATAACAACCACCACAACCACTTCAGCAACCTCAAGCACTCCAACTTCTTCAACACCCCAAACAAAATAAACACTCTTACACATATTACAAGGAACTTAATAGTTATATCCTGCAGTCTAACAGCTACTACAAATCTGCCAATAACAACATCCACTCCAAAAACTACAGCTTCTCAAACAACAACAATAAAGAGTCCAACAACTACATCACCCATTACAAGAACTACAACCATTCTTAAAACTTCATCTAATCTCACAATCACTACAACCACTCCAACTTCTACTACAACAACCACTCTCATAATTACAAATGACCCAACAACAACTACAACATTTCTCAAAATCATTCCATCAACAACGAAAACTCTAACATTTAACATAACCATTTCATTTACAAAAACCACTTCAACAACTACAGCAAACACTCCAACCGCTTCTTCAACCACTTCAACAACCACTCTAACAACTTCTACACCCCCTCTACAGCTGGAACAATTCAGACTCCTACAATTACTCTTACAACTACAACCAAGCATTCGATACCTTCTTCAACCATTCCAAAAGCTAGTACTACTTCTATAACTGTTACAAATCTAACAACTACAACAAATATTCAAATAATAATATCATCCATTACAACAACTATGGCAACTTCAACAACAAGGATATCCACTCTGCCATCTACAACTACAACCATTCCACCAACTACACCAACCATTCCTACAACAACTCTAACAATTGCAGCAACTACACTAACAACTTCTAAAAATCTAACAACTCCAACAACCACTCCAAAAATTACAACAGCAACTCCAACATCCACAAGCACTCCAACAACTTCTTCAACCACTCCAAGCACAATAAACACTCCAACAATTACTTCAAGCACCTCAACAGCTACAACCAATCAAATCATTACTTCATCTCCGCCAACAACTACAGCTACTCCGAAAACAACCAACACTCCAACACCAAATTGAACCACTTCAACAACTACAACTATTCCAACAATGTCAACCACTATTACAACTATTGCTACCACTTCAACAACTACTACAACCACTTCAACAACTACTACAATCACTTCAACAACTACTACAATCACTTTAACAACTATGACATCTCCAACAACTAGTACATCCACTCGAACAGCAACAATCTCTCAAACAACTACAACTATTCCAACAACCATAACAAGCACTTCAACTAATACAACTACTCCATAAACTATTACAACTCCAACAACCACTACAACAAATCAATGCACAACAACCATTCCAACAACTCTTACAACCACTCCAAGTACAACAACCACAAATACTGCAAGCACCTTAACAACTACAACCACTTCAGCATTTACAGACACTCCAACACCTACGACAGAGAATCAAACAACTTTTTCTACCACTCTAACAAATACAACCATTCCAACAACTTTATTCACTCCAACAACTATTACAATGATTCAACATACAACATGCCAACAAACACAACAAGCACTCCGACAATTGGTGTATCTACTCCAACAACTATAGTAAATCACTCAAAATACGAAAACAACTACTTCAATAGCTACGACAACCATTTCAACAACTTCTTCATCCACTTCTAAAACTACAACCAATCAAACTCCTATTACAACAACCACTCCAACAAATTCAAATGCTCCAACAACTTCTACAGCAACTCTAAAAACCAGTCCTACAAGTACAAAAACTCTAACAACTAAAACAACTACTCCAACTACTCCTACAACCACTCCAAACAAAACAAACACTCCAACACATACAACAAGCAACTCAACAGTGATTACCACTCAACTACTACAAATCTGCCAACAACAACATCCACTCCAAAAACTGCAGCTGCTCAAACAGCTACAACAAAAGTCCAACAACTACTTCATCCACTACATGAACTACAACCATTCTTAAAACTTCTACTCCCACAATTACTACAACCACTCCAACAGCTTCATCTACTCAAATATTTAGTGCAACAAATCCAAGATCTATTATATCTACTCTTTCAACTACACCCAATCTAACAGTTTCAACCATTCCAACAACTAAACCAATCATTCCACAAATTACAACTTTTCCAACAAATGCAACAGCGACGACAATCGTACCAACAACTTTAACAAACAATTCATATACTTCTTCAACCACTCCAAAAATTACAACAAACACTTCAATAACTTCTTCAGCGACTCCAACATCAAAAACCACCCCAAAAACTTCTATATCTCCTCCAACAAGTACAACAAACATCTACAATTAATTCCACAACTACAAGAAACACTTCAACAACTAATTCAACCACTCCAACAGCTACAAGTACTCCAAGAACTATTACAAATTCAATTACTAGTACAACCACTCGAGCAATAACAACCACTCTAGATCTGGCAACTACTACAGGCACTCCAACAGCTACAACTACCCTAGAAGCTACAACCATTCCAATACCACAACAACCTTTCCAATACCTAAAACTACTCCAACAACTTAAATAACCACTCCAACAACTACTACAAACACTACAACAATTACAACAACCACTCCAACAACAATAACAACTTTTGCTAAAACCATTCAAACAAATACAACCACTCCAACAACTATTTCAACAACTCAAGAAACAACTACAACCACTCCAACAACTACGACTACTCCAACAACAACCAAAACCACTCCAAGAAGTTTTACAGCTTCTCCAACAACAACTTCCACAACCACGCCAACAACTTGAAGCATTCTTACAAATACAATAATTTCTCCAACACCAACTACAACCTCTCCTCTGTGTGTTTTAGAACAACCATAACAAAAAAAAACTACATATCTCACCCTAGTTACACAATTTCTACCACTACAATTTCTTTAACAACTACTATAATTCTAACTATTATAGCTATTCCAACTTCTAAGTATAATCGAACTGCAATTACCTCTTCCAAGATTAAAGTTTCGTACGTTTATTATGTTAATCCAAGTTATGTTAAATATTTTTTTAAGATATAAGTTCAAATGATTTGTTTTAAGAGTGATTTGATGTAATGTTCTTCAGTTGTGTTTTTAAAGAGAAATGTTATTGAATGTTCAGAAAGTCGAACAGAAATACTATCTAATAAAGGCGATTTTCTTAGAGAGAGGGAAAAAGATTGAACCTCTCGGTGCTGGTCATTTTGGTAATTTACAGAAATGACTTTTGATATTGCTTCAACTTCTGTCTGAATATATTTACTTGTGATTAAATTAGAAACATATCAAAAATCATGTTTATTTGTTAAATAATTAATTTATTAAGTTTCAAAACCTTATTTAGTGCATTTGAATTTTGAAAATAAAATTCAGTTATTATAGAGTGTACATTTTTCTCTTTTTTGTTATTTACCTTTTTTATCCATGTACAATTGTACATAGAGCTGATTGCAGAACACATTAGGTATTTCTCTGTTCGTGACACTCTGACGCTTTCCAAGTCGAGAAATTTAGATGCTACGTCACATTGTTACCAGATCAAAGGAAATAACTGAAATCGCTTCCCTCCCACTTTAAAGTCAGTCAACGGCAATACGCATCACCTAAGTTTAACGGTTCATTAAAGGGGAAAGGCAGTTCAGCCGACCTTTTATCGCAATCTTCAACAATTAGAATAGAGCATTTTGTTAAGCATTTTTTAAGAGTCCATAATAAATTGAAGTTAAGGTTATAATTTTTATCTATAGCAAATTTGCCATTTGTATATAAGTCATCGTATATGTTGTACAAGATCAATATATATATTGCTGGATTTTACATATCAATCCTGGTCATTCTGGGGTTAAATCACTGCTGAAAGTAATGATCAGACTTTGAAAAAATATTCTGTATATGTATAAAAAACCATGAATTAAAGGACTTTATTATATTTATTATACCTTATTATACCTGTATAATGTACTATAAATATCCATATTTCTGCCGAGAAGGGAATTCGTATTCATAATTGTCAATAATTATGTCAAAATGCTAAAATAGTACATGTACATGTTCCTATCTTTGCATAAAAACGCGTGTATGATCGTTTCTTCTCTCTCTCTCTCTCTCTCTCTCTCCCTCTGGTATTTTCATTTATTTTGATAAGCAATATTATGAAACGATTGTATAGCCCACGGACTACATAACATATACATGTACACAAATAAAAAATTAATTCTCCGTGGGAAAATCGTTTTGAAGGAAAAAGTTTTGGCACTCTGAATGTTTAATTAAACAAATTATAAATCAGTTTATCAGTAGGCAAAGCTCCTTGCTCATACACGACAGACTGTTGCAGGTTTGGGGGAGGGTTTTTTAAAATCAATACAGTGAATAATACGGAAGCCCAATAGTGCAAATCAAAAAGATGATTGATTGATTGTTCGTTGTTTTACGTCCTATTCGAGAATTTTTAACTCATATAGAGACGTCAACCAAAAAAGAAAACGAAATTATGAAATAAAGAAAACTAAATTATTAAATAAAAAACAAACGAAATTATTAAATAAAGTAAACGAAATTATTAAATAAAGAAAACGAAATTATTTAATAAAGAAAACGAATTTTTTTAATAAAGAAAACGAAATTATTAAATAAGAAAACGAAATTATTAAATAAAGAAAACGAAATTATTAGCTATTCCCGTTTCGATAACATAACCAGTTGGAGTAGACAATCACAATAAATGAATTGGGGAGAATTTTACCTTCGGTTATCCAATATGCTTAGGTCTATGTTTTTATCTTACATTAACATGATTAATGTGAATTTTTACCAGTCTGATGAATTGGCCAGGTTTACGTTAACATTAGCTTTCTTAAATCCTCAGCTCAGAAGGTCTAATTATCAGCAAACAAAAAATCTGGACATTAAACAATTGGTACCCACGGGAATTCCAACATATTGTTGGAAGACCTGATCTCCAAAAACTACATACTAGATATTGTCAATCAGAAACTCAAGCATCTTTTTAATATCAACTTCAGAGTACTTGTGTGTACAATCAGAGTGCTTTTTAACAAAATAATTTCGTAAATGACCAATGACAAGGTCAGTATAATTACGAGTTCCATTTTTATTGAAAAAGCAGCTGTCTGTGATGTCAAAAAGCCTGAACTTCAATTTATAGTGGTAAATGATTGTATAAAGTGTGGAAAAGTTGTACGTTTTGATGTTATTGAGTTAAGTAAAATTTTGTGATTTCAAATTTTCCAAACGTTCTTTGGAGTTTATAAGTATCCATGACTGATTTACACCACTTCTTGAATATACTGTTGTACAGTACTCCTAAAGTTTCTCCTTCACTGCTGTAAATATTTTAGTGAGGGGTAAAGAAAGAGGTTTGGTAGAACATTTATTGGAACCCGCTATGTATCTTTGTAAGGAATTTTATGAAGTTAAGGAATCCAGTAAAGGTATGGTAATTCAAATTCATTTTGATTGTTGGGAATTTTAAAATTATCTAAAACGGACTTATGATTTTGAAGAATTTCCTCCCTAGAAAGGAAGGTATGGGTCTAAGTTTGATTTCCACCCGTAGAATTAAGTCCTAAAGAAGAAGAATACAAAGGATGAGAAGGTACAAAATTTAAGGCGAGAAGAGAAAGAAAATCAAAACAGTGATAGTGAAACTGAAGATGAGGTTTATATGGTGAAGTTAGACGTGATGTGGCACCACAGCCAGATACAGTGCAGACACCTCATCCAGAAGAACATCAAGAAGAACAACAGGAAGAACCAGCGGAAACTCTAGAAGAGGAACATTCGGAGGAACCAGAAAGAAATCAACAACCTGACGTAGACCACGGATCCGGAGTTTCTATATTTTCTGTAGTTAAAAACTTGCATGTTTAATTCTTTTAGAGCAGTACAGCACTTTATAAAATAAACTAAAGATTAGTGAAGAGCCTAAATTCCATAATTTTGGTAAGTTGTTTCTCAAATGTAATATGTAAATATCAATGTAAATAATCTTATTTTATTGATAAACTTAATAACAAAACAGGTTCAGTGGAGATCACTTTATAAATTAAATTTATAAGTGTAAAAAGGTTTTATGATATTTGCGTTAATACGTTAAAATACGAATTAATGAGAGAGTATATTTTATGATTGGTGTTTCATATTATTTTGTGAACACAAGAAACATGTATATATTTAAGGTCTTGTTTATTGATTTTTTGCAGGGCCAGGCATTAATGTATCTACCATAAAATATTTGTTCATTTATGGATGATTAATACAACCTGAACTAAATCTGAAACCTGTGTTGTGTTTAATATAACAACCGAGGTTTATATTTGGAGCCCCCCAGTTTGAGATCGAACGTGAAAAACCAGTTTGTGTTCTTTATTCCATTTTTCACTCATGGGATTTACATAGTGCTTTTGTGCGATGAGAACTAATCATGTTACACCTGAGTGACGCGCACCTGTTGGCGGATCCTTGTTCAAGAATGGAAAAACCCGGGAAATAGTTATTTCCGGAAGTCAAAGCAAAACCTAGAGGTGGATCCAAGCGTATAGATTTACAATCAACAACATTTTCATTTATTATTTGTACTCAGACAGTCCAATGATTATGAAAATTTTCTATCAGTGACATGTTTTGATTTGCACCGAGAGACGAACATAGCCGTTGCCTTGTCGAATATTTTATGTACGACTTCACATACAAGTGCGAACCGGAAACATGTGTTGCTGGATGTAAACATTGAAGTGTCAACCTCGATTACTTTGTTTGTTTGTTTTTTTCATTTTGTGACTTTAATTCATTTCAGTTTGGATTTATTGGATTTATTTATTTTCAATTCTGTTATTTTCTTTTTATTTTGGATTTATATTTTGTATTCTTTGTGTTTTTGTGAATTTAAATTGTGCGTTGTGATCCACTGAAGCTAAAAAAGCATC